CCAGCGAAAAGTTTTATTATCAGGTGTTAGATGATATATATAGCTGGTGCTTGGTTCTCTAACTTGGTTCTTTAACTGTTAACTGTTCCTGTAGCTGTTATTGCATTTTCTTTTGTTCCTGTTGGTATTATTGCATTGTTCTCCATCAAAACCAATACATTGCAATTTCAAATTTTCACATTTTCTCCCAAATGCACTTTTTGTCGGCCCCAAAGTATTTTTTGTTCTACTTTTTTCCTATCAAGCCTACTTGATTCATTTAGTATTCCGATTTCTTTTAAAGCAGCTTTAGCTATTTAGCAGCAATTGCTCTGCAACTGACACGATAACGATCTGCCACAATAGCCAGTTCACCGTAAAAAAATATTCTTTTGATTACGTTTGTTTAAGAAATTACATGTATCAGAAATTACATGAATCATTAAGTATTTACATATATATGATTCATAAAGTTTGTCTTTTTCATCATAAAAGCATCTAATTTGATACTTTCCTCATATTCATAGAAACTATCGTCAGTAATGCAATCCATTTCTTTCTTAACATTTTTATGTTTATTTAACTGCTGTTGCCTTGTTGTAAATCTACTTTTTTGTGTTTTAGCTTTTTTTAAAGTAGATGTTTAAGTAAGATCCAGTGGTTTAAGTTGATTATTGCGTTGATTTTGTCCAGCAAACGCATCCCATTCTTTCAATGGCACTTTCAAAGTACATCTGCGTTTCTCTTTTTCTACTCCTCCATCATATTGCACGAATATATATCAAACATTTTGTCAAAAGATGTCAATTTGGCATAAATACTATGATTTTTTCTAAAAATTTTATTTTAATTGGATCCTTTTTTCATTAATCTACATACTTTTGAGAAAATTCCTTCTGTTTTTTTATTGTTGGAAAACTAACGTTACGCCGTAGATTTTCAACATCTCTAGTAACTAATCAATAACATTCATGAGCATAACTTGACCCTACATTACCCAGGCATCATTTCTGTTAGAAATTAAGATCTTTGCCCAAATTTTAAGTTAACCAAAAGTTAGTATTATTACGAGTATAAAATGCTGCCATAATGGTTTGTTTTTATTAGTTATATACTACTTTTAATAACAAAGAAATAATATACATATATTTGTACTATAAAATACATAACAAATATAGAGGATAAAAAGAACTTAATAAAATATTATTATAATTTTCTGTAACTTGTACTAATTGTTCCAAATTAACATAAATTTTATTATAGAGAAATAATATTGTTTAAACTAATATAGAATGTAAAAATATATACTAAAACTATAAAAAAAAATTTTTTTAAATAAAAACTTAAATATTAGTATTACATGAAAGTAATGGAAATGTTAAGAGATTTAAACGAAAATTTTTAAAAAACTTTATGTTATGCAAAAAATGTGGTGTATGGTACTAACCCTAGAGGTGTTTTTTTATATAGTTTATATAATTTATTACACCAATTCATGAACTCCACAGAGTGCTGCTTCTCAAAATTAAAAAAAAATAATTGTTATGACCCTAATAAGTACTCTTGCGTGGTTTAATGCATCCTGCTAATTGATCCCGAATATTTTCCTTTGTGCATGTAGGTGCTTTGAAATTTCACCTGGCAATCCAGTTACGAATGCTATTTACAACATTTCTTCGCTTCATCAGTTCTAATTCTTCACTTCTTAGGCCCCATCAGTTGCTAATGCAAACGTACTGACTTCAAGAAACAACGGAATGATAAGGGAATGATCGCCCATTTTTTTGTTGCTCCAATTTGAACTTTTTTCAGCTACACTAAAGCATCTCCAGATCCATCAAAATTTTCAAATATTTTCATCATAGATGAAAATAATTGAAAATTTCATACTTGCGAATTAGCTTGTTAATAGGATGACTTTGCTTACTTATTTTTAACTCTGTTTTTATTCAAGTTTTTTGTTTACAACTTTGAAAACTTAACAAAATTTATCGAGGGTGTAATTATATACGAGAATACCTTATGATAAACAGTAATAAAATGCATTAATAAACTTGTAACAAAAATGTGATAAGCAGAAAAAACTTAAAACAGAAAACTTTTATAATGATTAGCCATTATCAATAAATATTATTCAACCAGTCGAGAGTGTGTTTACTGAATCTGGTATCCAAAAAATAAAAATAAATTTATGAAGTATATAAATATTGAGTAGAACTTTTTGATACAAAGTCTTTACACACTGAAATTTAAAACTCAATTTTCTTGGAAAATTTGACGTATGGCCTCCTGGTTCTCGGCTGACAAGGTGTTTAAAAAATATGTCAAATGCTATTGTACAAAAAGTGTTTCTGTACTTCGACCTTTAAAAACTTATATTCGGTCTACAATGACGAGTGACGCTTAAAACAACTTTTACAGTTAGGCTATAAACAAGTAATGTGTTTGGAATAATATTGGAAATAAATGTTATTAAATCTGAATATTATGTGTGAAACTAAACTTGGATTAATTGGACCTTTGAATTGGATGCAGCTAACCCCACAAAATTTAAAAAAAGATAAAAGGAACAATGATTAGCTTCATTTTAAATCCTGGTTTGTTCCTTTACCAACTTTGAAACAGGCTCCTCCGTTGCTGGACGCAAATACACATGCATATAATACAAATTAAAAACAGTTTTTTTTTTTTAAGTATTCATAGAAACACTTTGATGTGCATTTCCATGCAACTATTAAAATTAATTTAAGCTATTGTGTTTCAAATAAAAAATTTTGTTAAAAATTAGGTGTTATTAAAAAATTAAATCGCACTAAAGTTTAAATTTTTTAATTATATAAGAAAAAAAATAATAGAAAAACAACTTATTGCTCAACATTACAGTAGTTATTTTAACAAACATAATAATTTTTAACATTGTATTTTATCAGCAACCTTTATAAATATTTGTTTGATGATTAAAACGAATAACAATACATACTAGTTATTTGGCTGTTTCATTAAACATTTACGTAAGAAAACAAAGCTTATCAAGTTTTTTTTTTAAATCAAAATTTCAATGTTGATATTCCCTTTGGCAACTCATTATTATTACTAGAAAATATTTATTCAGTTATAAAGATTATTGGCAATATGAAATATGTGCTGAACATTTGTTCAAGATAGTACTTAGAAAAATTTAAGAAACTTTACTACTTAAGCATTTAACAACTGTTAATTACAATTTAAGTGAGCAAAGCAATATTTTAGAAAATTAAGTAACTTTATGTCATTATAATGAAAAACAATTAACGCAACTTTATTTTGTCATACCATCATGTGATCAAAGTTCTTTGATTTTTAAATTTTTAGCTCCATAAACAGTAAACCATGTTTAAAATAACAAGTTTTTAAAATCCATATTTTTGTATATAGAAAGGCAAATAGGGATGGCGGGGTATTGGCGAACAGCTGAGCGGGAATGCGAACTAAAAAACAAAGTAAAAGAAAAGTATTGTTAAGTCTATAAAATTACAACTTCAAATGCAAAATTTGTAACTACTGTTTTTTATAATTTTTTGGAAGTTTCTTATCCGTATACTAAATTTTATTTTTCGTAATTCCGGAGACTAGTACTTTAGAGTTTAATTTACAGAAAATTTCATTCATAATTTTCTATATAAGCTGTTCTAAAAACAAAAGGCGTACAGAGTTGAAAATATATTTTTCATTTAGTATTTTTCTTTAAAAATTTTTGTCTTATTAAATAAGTTTTATTATTATTGACTTAATATTTTACACGATGGAACGGAAAACAAAACTAATCAAACTTTAGGGAATTCATAGCTATTGTCTTATGTAAAATGAAGGAGGATTTAAAAAAGTGTGGCGGGAAGCAAAAGCAAAGATAAGATTTTTTCAATTATTTTATATTAAGTTTTTATTAGCTGTTAAAAAATAAAAAAAAGAATTTTCTAATTTACTTTTGATTTTAGGTTATGCCAAAATAATGAAATGTGTTCACTGATTCGACGGAAAACAAAACCAATCAAACTTTCGCGAGTTTATTATGTGGAGGGAATTTATTATGTGTTTAATTTACAATTCTAACTTGCAATGAGATTGTACTTTTCCAGGACTTTTCGTGGAAGTCCATCAAATTTTTCAAAAGACTATAATAGCAGAACAGTTTAAAAAACACAAAAAAGTTGCTAACTTTTGAATATATTTTACTTTGTTATGAAATGTATCGTAATTGGGAGATTGTACACCTAGATAGACCATTCACAAGTTTTTTTATGTTTTTTGTGCCCATTTTTTGGAAATTTGAAATTATAATCTTTTAGACATCATTCTTGATTGGTTATCTTGTTTATTACGATGAAATTTTGAAGTCTATTTGCACACGCTAAATAGCAAATTAACTAGCTACTTAATTGAACATAAAAGGTTTACAAACCACTTAAATCTCGCTTAAAGTTGAATTTATATGAGCTATTTACATCATACAGAAAAAAAAATTATAAAAATTTATATATACTTTATTTTCATGCACATTTAAAAATAAAATTATTATAAAATACATAAAAGTTGTTACCTTTTACAGAATGGAAACTTTTTTGATACTATAAAGTCATTATTTTAGCCAATAAAATTCTCAATATAAAACTAATTTAGTTCCAAAATTAAAATAAAAAAAAACTAGTTCACAGGTTGAAGTTTTGGGAACGAGTTAATTGTAGATTGCAACAAACTGTTTGAATAATTTTAAACAACACAAATATCATACTAAGTGTATAATATGAACTAAGGTTAACGTTGAAATTGAAACATTTGGTAAAACATTTAATATTGAATTAGATATTGAACTAAAAGCAGTGCCACTAATGATGCCACCAGGCGTTGGGGGAGGGGGGGTGCGAAAGTAACAGTATGTCAAGTATTTTATTCTAATCCACTGTGCTTAGATACATTATGATATTGTAAGTCATTACTAGTAATAATATGCTTATATAAATCGTATAATATTTATATTAACTTACTTTACAGACCAGACCTTCACTTCTTACAACATGTTTGTAGCAATCTATCTAAATAAAAATTGATCCTAACTTATAAAATAAATTTTAAATAAAAAAGTTTTTGTTAAATTGATTTTATATTACTAAGAAATTTTCTGCTCAAAATAAATGCTTTGATAGCAATAATATTAAGAAAAATGTTTTTTGTTAAATATCTGTGCTACACTAGTAGGGGAGAGTAGGAAACCATGAAATATTGTAAACAAAATTAAAAACCATTTTTAAAAATATTTGTATTCAATATTTAAAAGATTTATATAAATATAATTCTAGTAGATCTAATTTTAATATAAAGTCATTATATATTTAATTGAAAATTAAAAATGACATTCAAAACAATATATTGATTATAACATTATCTAAATTCTTCAAATGTAATTTGGACCATTGTATGCATTATTTGGGTTATAGTCTTTCAAGTAAAAATCTGCCTTTTCTCTACGTTTTTTACTTTATATTTACTTTTTTAATGATATTCATAGTTTGTGTCAAGGTTTTCCATGGGTGGGGTACCTTGATACAATTTTTTATTTTTACTTTAAATAGTCTCACAAGTTGAACATATTAATTTTGTTTATTAATAAATTTAACTAAATTAATCGACTAAAAAAAGATGTATTGAAAAAATTGTTACGAAGCAAAAATCAAAAGTGTATCATGGTGTTCCACTCTCCCCTACATACATTTGATTTCAAAACTTGAACTATCCTTTATCAAAGAAGTATTTGAATATGCTCATACTAATATTTATATGCAGGGTAAAACCTTTGATGTGGAAATGTAAGCGCAAAATTTAATTTGAGTGTATTAAAATTATTCAAAAAAAAAAAAGACTAAATACTAGCTTTGAAACAAACCAAACTATTATTTTATTTATTATAAATATTTTGAGTGCAAACTATCAATAACAATTGAAATAATTGCTATACGAAAGACAATAGCAGTAATTTGATAAATTTTATTTATTTATTTAATTTTTTTTATTACTTTTCAAAATAAATACAGGCGGCCAGGGCAAGAAAAAAACACAATTCGTCATATCGCCTAGCCCCGAGATGTTTGTACAACATATATGTTTATACAGCATATATGTTTGTTACCAATATACATGAAATAAGATTTTCTTATTAAAAAGATAAAACAAAAAGATAAGCTAGAACTTATAATAAAAGGAATAAAGTTAAAAAATTATAAAGAAATTTAGAAAGAGAAAAAAGAAAAAGAAATTAATTTTAAGACTATAACAATCTTTCAAAAACATTAAACACTTTTATTTAATTGAGCGATTTTTAAATATAGCAAACAATATTTAATAAAATTGATTTAAAATAAAAAAGTATTTTGTAAAAATACGTGAAATAACGAATTTGTAGGAAAAAAATAAATAAATATGTAAATGCATACAATTAAAAAAATAATTTGCTCAACATATAATTTTAATAAGATTTATGCTTTTTAAAATTTTTTCGGAAAAATAAAAAAAAAGTTAATAATAGAAAACAGTTAATTATTAATTAGAAAATAGTTAATTATTAAGTTAAAAATAGAAAAAAATAAAAAACAAAATGTCGGTTAAACTCTTCTAAAAAAGATCTTAATTAAGATTAAATACTAATTAAAATTATTGGTCAAAAACAAAATTGATAATAACCTAAAGGTCTCCAAATAAAAAAATATATATTTTATCATAATTCAATCAAAGCGACACTTGGCAAAGATAAAATTTAAAATAAATTGAAAAAGTTTATCTGTACCACCCAGATAATTTCAGAAGAAGCCATACACTCCGTCACTAACCAGAAGCACTTGCTTCAATTTTGCTTTGAATTCGTTAAGAGTTTTAAATGCTGTAAGTTTATTAGTTAAAATTTTATTCATATTTTTGGTCCTTTAATAGATATAGGAAACTCAGTTGCGGCCAAAAAAAAACTATTAGGCTGAATATAAGTGTTGTTTGAGTATCTGGTTAAGTATCTCTGCTTAATTATTATAAATAACAAATGAAAAATATTAAATGTTATTTTTGTATTAACCTTTAAACTGTTAAACATTGGTATAGCTAAATTATTGTGAATTTATGTTCCTTATATTGATAGCTGTCGTTAGTAAACTTTATTTAAAATACTGAACACAGATTCTTTCATTTGCGATCTTTTGAGATCAATATCGAATAAGCACGGTGTTTAAACAGTTAAAAATTATAGAAAAATAAAACAAGAAAAGAAAAATATATATATCTTTGAATGTTTCTTGAAAAAACGCCTCGAAAAAAAATTCGTAAGGAAAGCATTTTTTTAACTAATTTTTTATTTAAAGCCATAGTGTACTTTTAGAAAAAAAGGTAGTGATTTCTGATTAGGGAATGGTTGATTTTTTTTGTTAAAGAATGCCCACCCAAACTAAAACCTTTAATTTATGTATGTGCAATTTTTGATCTCTTTTTTCTGCCGTGACATTCTGGAGCGTTACTCGACATAGTTAAGGCGAAATAAAAAACTTAAATTGAAAATGTTTAAAAAAATATATATTTTTGTTTGATACAACTACTTTTTCTTGTATTTTGAAAAAATTTCTTTAAGGTTTTTTCTTTAAATACAGAATTTAAGACTTTTATAAAGTCTCTTTTTGAGACTTGAGAAAAGACTCAAAACTTGAGAAAAGTTTTAAACAAAATTAAAAAACGTCCTTAATTTATGCGATTAAAAGAAGTTAGTGGTTTTACAAAGTGTTTAAATTCATAAATTTTATAAAAATCATGTTGTTTTTTTTCACTTAAAGTTGAAATGTTCTTCACTTAATAAGTTAAAGAAAACAAAAAAATGAATTGTTGGTAGTTGTTGCTCTTTTTCTTCTATTTCCTTGAGGAATTTTTTATTGTTTAAATGACTTTACAATTGTTAAATTAATAGCAAAGTCCTCACTTGAAAATAGCACAAAAGAACATTAAAGGTCTGGATATGGAAGCTAAAGCTAGAATTCCATAATATACCGCAATTAGGTTATATCAAATTATATCAAGTATAATATCTTGATTGGCATATAACATTTTAAATAATTTCAAAAGAATTCTTGTAATCTACTCTAATACTTTTTGTATTTTCCCTTTGAACAATCTTATTTTGCAGACCAGATTTTTATTGAAACATCTTGAATATTTAAACTATCATCCGACTGGTGGCAAATTTTCAAAAAGAGCCAAAACTACGTTAAGTACTCCAAGACTAAACTGGCAGTTTCAAAGTTATGATGACTAAAAACTTTAAAATAAAGCACTCATACTAGCTGTCGTGACTTTAAATGAACCAATCGGACTCTACTAGAGTGACTTAATAAAAATTAGAGCAACGGTATCGTTGCGCTAGCCACAGCGTAAATAAAATAAGCAAATTTAGTTGACAATGATACGTTTGTATGTATATATGTTTGTGTGTTTGTAAACCAAACTAGCATTTATACCTCTTCACAACAAGAAGAACGACCTCTTGTACTCAATAAATCGATCTAAATTGAATAAAACTTAGCAAAATCTTTGAAAGCTGTTAAATTTCATAAGAAGATTTTTTTTATAAAAAGTTCACTTACATTTGTAATATGAATGTTATACGAATGTAATTGGCTCCATATAAGCAGATCTGTTGTTAAATTACTACTTTCTATAGAATTTCCAGAAATAAGTGGACACCTTTCTAAGTTGGATAAAGATTTCTCTATTTGGCACAAATACAAAATAATTAATAAAAAACACCAAATATTCATCTTTTATGTTATCATAGAAGCATAAAGAAACGATTTTTATTAGGAAACCATCACTTTAGTCGTCAGTTTGAATGCAATTTTTAATGAAAAAATATAGTTCTAATTACAGTTTCGTTTGTTTACATTTCATTGTTCATATTTAATAATTTTTTGAAGAAAAGTTTCATTTATTTTTTGATTAAAATTTTTTAATAAAAGTCTAAAACTGCTTTGATTAAAAAGACAAATTTTTTAGAAGAAAAAAAAAACAAAAAAAAAAACAACTTTTTAATAAAAACAAGAAAACGATATTTTGTTTTACAACTTGTTTTTTGAATATTAATTATTTGCTTAAAATGCATTTTAATGCAACAAAAAATTTTTATCATTTTATATTATAGCACGTATTTTTTGACCACAAGTCTAAGATTTTTGACTATTTGTCTAATATACTCAAGTCTTAAAAACCCTGTTAGTGTGCAGCGTCAAATAGGACGTATGTACGCGTGCACTCTCAAATAGAAAAAATTGACGACTATTAATAAAACCAGTTTGATTAATGTTTTACTCAAAACTAAACTTTATTCATATTTTAATATTAGACGATTTGCCTTATATATTATAGTATATTAAGAAAAACAAACAATTTTTTTTAAAAACTGCTAAATTTTAATAAATGTATATACATAAATATGGATATTTTTAAATGTATTCTACAAAATAGGGTGCTCAATGTTTATAAAAGAACAGTGCAATAATAAATTAGTAGAAAATCACTTATTAGTGCAGTCAATTGGTGACAAATTTATATGTTTTTGTGGTATTTTGGGTAAAAGCATAAGATTAGGTCTACACGTTTATAGAATTGAAATACTTATTTCAAGACTCAAACTAACTTTTAAAATGTCTTCATTGTAACTGAATTATGTCCGTAGCAAAAACTTTTTTTTTAAAGATATTAATGCATTAATCAAAAACTCAGCAAATGAACAACAAAAAAAATTAAAGCACTATATTTTAAAAATAATTATTAACGAGTAGCAGGGCATTAAAAACAGAAAAGTTAAGGGCTAAAAACGTTATGTTTTTGTACCCATGGTGCTTATGAAGATGCTCTGAGACCTCGCAACACATCCCCAGGACTTTTTTTTGTTTATTATTAGAAGACGCATCCTTATTTCAATATTGTAAAAAACAACTATTTTTACGTGGAGCCTAGGGAGAAAACACGTATTTTAAACGAGTGCCTAGTAACTTTGTTATTCAAGGTAACTAAGAGCTATGTGACATACTCAAATTTTTAGTATGTTAATAATTGTATCAAATGAGGATGAATTGCAAAAAGTTGAGGTAATTGAAGCTAAGCCAACCCCGTCCCGACCCCGAATCATCCTTTCCTAGAACAACGACTCCTCAGCTATTAAATATTTTTTTTAAGTTTTATCATAAATTAGACCAAAACTTATCAATAGATTTCAAGTTTGATCAAAAACTATCTTTCCGTTTAAGGTATATGACTATAAGAAGTTCAAAATTCCATAAATTTACCCGCTGAAATAACTTCGAATGGTCGTAACTTATAAACTAGAAATAGATTTTTGATGAAAATTAAAATCTGTGATGAATATTGATATAGTTTATTATAACAAAATAAAAATTGAAAAATTCTCTTAGGGAACCATACACTTGGGGTTGTAGTATTAGGGGTCCAATAGGGTTAACTACAACTACTTTATGGCCGTAAAAAAAATTTGTTAGGTCTATTTGGTTAAATTATTAATTATATTTTGCATGTCATATATAATCATATCATATATAAGGATATTATGTTAAATAATTGTTCATAAGAGGTTAATATTATATTATTTACGAGCTACCTGCAAATTGAAAGCTAGTTTAAAAGTGTTTGTAGTTGTAAGCAACAACTGCGTTTTTTAGCACTTCAATATAGTTTGAGCTGTGTTATCTAACTTTTCTCTTTGCATAAACTAATTGAAATCTTGGTAAATAAATTCCAGAGCTTGTTCGGTCCAGTAACCTAAGCGTTCAGAATATAAAATGCACAAAGTAAATTTTAGTCTATGTAATGAATAATCGTCACAGTTTATTCAATTTTAAACATGCATAAACTGTTGTAATATTGTAATAATAAGTATTTAATTACTTTTATTATAATTAGATAATATAAATTTATTCTTTTGTCAAACTTAAAATTTATTTATCATACTAAAGACAGCTTTAATATCGATGAATTTCATAATATGTTGTTCGACCATATGTACTTTGAAAAGGAATTGTAGCCCCTTGATTTCTATAGCTCGTAGACAACTACTCTAAATATTTGACATAAGTTGAGCCTAATAATTTTCTAAAACAGCCATGGACTACGTTCTCCAAATCTCTAACTACCTTAATGTATTTGGATAAGGGATCTCCAAGACTGGACTCCAGAAAAAAGCTGTCAATCTCAAAGCTGTCTATGTTTTTAAGCAACGTATTGCAAGCATTACCTCCTAAAAGACGCTGTTGGGATATTCTTTAGATATTTATTGTAGAAAAATATCGGTTGACAAACTATAACTCACACTCCTTGTTTTCAAACAAGTTGTTTTCAATTTTATTTAAAATTTTGTCTATAAAACCTAAAATATATATGTAGACTAGGAATATTTGCAAGCTTTATTATTTTTTATTTTTTTCCCTGTTAATAAAGAGGGTTGAACAGCATTTGTGAACATTTTTGTATTTTTTAATTTTGCACCATTAGATATCCATCGGTCATATTATCTACAGAAAGATTCTAAAGAACAATGATCACCTTTTTGAAAGTTAGGAGATGAGGTTATGAAAAGGGTGTTTTGATGTTGCAGTTTGTTTTCCAACCATTTGAGGTGATACCTTTATAGCTTCATATACTGTGTAGTCTAATGAAGAAATGTTTAACTTATTCTAAAGTATCCGCAGATTATGGTATTTTTTGTTCAAAAAAGTCAAAATGGCCAGTATAATATATTATATTATTTTGACCGATAGATATTTGATGATGCAAAATTAATAAATGCAAAAATGTTTACAAATGTTGTTCATATTTTCTTCCAAAATCTAATATGACTCACATGTATAAGGTCACGATAGGTTCTTAAAAAATGTCAATGTGCTCAGTAATACGATGTCTGGTAAAAAGCACTGGAGACATGCAGTTGCATAATAACTTTTGTAGGGGTTATAGTCTCGGATAAAGATCCTTTTTAAAAACATATTTTTCCTGCATTTCTTTATAATACTATAAAAACTTGTAGGGTCATATAATAGCACAAAAAATATTTCAAATAAATGGAAGAAACTTATGATATCAACCTTTAGCGGTTAATTAGAAATCAATTGCAATGCAATAAAGAGATCTACAAATTTTTACCAAGTTTATAAGTTAAGCTTTTTTTTCCAGCAAAAAATGAAACTTGATAACAACCTGTCATTGCGTGAAATAGAGTTAAAAACTGCTGTTGTAGGCCGAGAAATTTTAAAAGATTGTATAGTACCGAACCATATCCATAAATCTTCTGCTAAACTGTTGCTTATGAAAAAATTCTATATCTAAAGTAAGAAAATAGGTTCAGTGCATTTATCAACTGCTGTATAATTCAACACCTGCATTGCCATCGCTCAATTAATAATCAAACATTAAAATATGGGTTTATATTTAAGTGCATTATGCAAATCATTGGAATGTGGTAGATTATTTTGTTTTATTGAATTAAATAAAGACTCTTTACACTCTCTTATAGTCTGGTTTAAAAAAAAAGGTTCAATATATTTTGCCCTAAAAATTTCAATGGAATTAACTTTTTTAAAATTTTTATTAAAATTTTTTTTCAATCCATCTCTAATTGCTTTGAGCGCCGCCATTACAAGATGAGCTGGCCCCACTTAATAGCAAAATCTCTCTGTAGTATTTCTTCTAATATCACTGTGTCAATTTTGCCAAGGAATATAATTTGCTGATCAAAAGTAATGACAGATATTTGACTTTTATTTAAAGTACTAACAGCTGCCTTGATCAAAACTGTTTAACTTCCATTAAGAAACAAATTATTTTTCTTACAAAAACATTTAACAACAAAAAACTACAATTTTAGGAAATTATCTGTTATTATTGCTTCAAATTATCCATCTTTTCATCTTCTTTGAATAATCAATTTTTAGTGATAGAGATTGTATTTCATCGGATAGGCGTGACGGCGCTTTAACGTCAATACCTTTCTTCAAAGCTATCTGTAACTTTATTATTGTCTTTTTCAAAACTAGGGTCTAAAAGTGAGCAATAATTTCAGCATCAGTAGCATATGAACCGGTTGTTACTGCATCTCAACTAACGTAAGATTCCATAAAGAGACCTTTTTGGACGGCACTCGTATCTAACTCTAGCAAAGCGTCAAGTTCTTCTCTCAAAGATTTAAAAGGATGATCATCTTTGGCTTCTGAAATACTATTGTTTGTATTGCTGATACAAGCTTTATTAAAGCAATCGATGACAGTCTGACACAGCATTCTATGAAGAAACAAGATCTTTCATTGCTTGAAGTATAGAAACTTTTGGCAGGGGTTTGCTTTTATAGACAACCTGATAAACAAACTCACACATTTTTGATGACAGTGAGCGTGAGCTTTAATACTTTGTATTACGCCTCAATCAATAGGCTGAAGTACAGATGTGCTGTTAGGGAGAAGATACTTTGTTTGACATTTAATGTGTGGTTTAATGTGTGGAACGGCACAACATTTATCCACCAGGAGTGTTACTTTCCTGTCCTGATCACGAAAAGATGAGTCAAGCTTCTTTACCCATTCTGTTAAAATGTCGCCGGTCATCCAACTTTTTAGCTGTTATTTATACGGCCTCAAATAATTTTTTTTTGTGCTTGTTGCGCTCTTGTCATAGGAGGAGAATCTCTCAGAGAGATTTTAACATTTGTAATATTAGGAGACACAATAAAAGAAAAAAGATCGCTGCCCCATGCCAT